ATAAATATTTATGCAGGGTTATTATTATTTATTGTTCGGTGATTATTCGTATAGTAAATTTTAATATGAATTTAGTGCTGAATTAACAATATGTTTATTTTATAGAAAAATTTATATATTCTTTCAAAGGGCTCTTAAATATAAACTTTAAAATACCTGTTAAGGGTCGATCTTTTAACCTCTGAGTAAAGTTACATGTAGGTTTACTTGACCGATTAACAAACAATATTCCTATAGTTTAATCAGCAAGTAGTTACTTTCAACTTTACTCAGCGGTGAAAAGACTTGACCCTATTAACAGATTTGTTACAAAGATATGTTGGTTCATTTTTGAATTTTTATCAAATTATTGTATATATAAAATAAAAATGAAGCTACTAAACATGAAAATGTAGATATCCTAGAACTTAATGATAACAGTCAAGTATTCTATGGAATAGACACTTCGTGAAACCATTTTAAATTACATTTATGTAAGATATTAAAGCAATCAAGAATGTCATGAGATAAATCTTTTGATAGAACAAAATTATTTTCTTGAAGTCGATTAGAAAATGTTGATGAACCTATGATAGGTATATAATATTGTGGTAAATTATTTCACTGTCTTAAACATACAAATTATCGGATTAAATAATTATTGTGCGTTATTAATTATTCTTATTTTTATAATTAAACTTTCTTTGGTCAAAATTGAAGTCACAGGTTACATTTAAAATGTATAGTCGTTGAAATAGTCTGGCCACGGGATAACTCTTATAATAAAATTGATATAAAATAATTTTGATAATTGATATTTAGATAATTCAGGGTGATATTTAGTTTTTTAGTTAAATTTTGTTTTTACATGGCGAATTCCAACAATAATATTCCATTAATTTATAGAATAAATAGATAATTTACAGTTATTTGGGAGTAGCATGGTTGAAAATTCAGGAAAAACGGACACGAAGAACTGTTTTATTTGCAAACAGTCCATCCACGAGAATATTATATTATTTGACCGTGAATGTTTATCAAAATTAAAAAAAAAAATATGAAATGCCGAAAGTTCTACAAATTGAAGTATATCGTAAAATCACTTTGTATATAATTTAATTAGTAAAATTATTAATAGATTTTACTAAATTCATTACCAATATTTTTTAAATAAATTGTATATTTTTTATATGAAAACCATAATATGAAGACCCATATCCTGCGCATTATTTTCATAATATAAAATGTTATTATACTTATACAAAAAGGAAATGTATGCTAAATTATTCATTTAAAATATTTAAAATTATTTCTGGTGCCTTGGTAGGATTTTCCACTCGATAGGAATCATGATTTTTTTCGACCTCGAGTTTTCGACGGATTTTTACGTTTTGTGGTCCCCTGAATCCGTTTTGACTATTTTCGCGATGATGTGTGTGTGTGTGTGTGTGTGTGTGTGTGTGTGTGTGTGTGTGTGTGTGTGTGTGTGTGTGTGTGTGTGTGTGTGTGTGTGTGTGTGTGTGTGTGTGTGTGTGTGTGTGTGTGTGTGTGTGTGTGTGTGTGTGTGTGTGTGTGTGTGTGTGTGCGTGCAGAAAAACACCAAATTTTAAACTTAAGCTTTATTCCAACGTCTAATAAACTGATTAGAACATCTGGAGGGATACTTTATAGGTGGTCATTTTTATATTTTATGGAATATATCTGTTATTTACGTTTGGAGAAGAAAATTCTTCAAATAAAAGTTACTTATAATATTATTATCTATCATTTTTGTTTTATGTCAAAATTTTCTGAAATGGTCCGTATTCGAGAAATTTGACAAAATGTGCAAAATTCTGATTTTTATGAAAATTGTTGAACTAAAAGTTGTTTGCGATATCGATCTCTATAATTTTTGTTTATACATGATTTTTCTAAAATGGACCGTAAAAGAAAAGTGCTAAATTTAAGTTTTTCTGTATTTTCGTTTTCAATGAATATCTATAGAAAAATGTTTCGAGGTAGATGTATGTAGACAATGTATATATTTAGTTTATCCTCTAAACATTTATAGAGATGCTGCAATAGGTTGTACAAAATAAGCGGGAAAAGCCTATAATAACTAGATAGGAAAGTCATGTGTTGGACACATCAGATTTTTTAAATAAATAATGTTCCACTTTCGACAATTATGCTTTCATTATAGGGTCTTAAAATAACTATGCCAAACGCTTGTGTGGGAAAATGGTGGACATTTCTAGATTTTTGTTAGCTTTTTGTTAAATAAATTATATATAATTAATATGATAATCATGTCCGACACTCAAGCCATTTGTTATATAGTCTTGGAATCACTTTTTCCAAGCAAGCCGGTTGGGCTTGTGTGAGAAAATGGTGGATATTTATAGATTTTATTGTCAGCATTTTGTTAAGTAAATTATGTATAAATATTATGAAGACCATGTCCAACACTCAAGCCTTTTTATATATAGTCTTAGAATCACTTTTTCTAAGCATATGTCAAACGGCTAGTGTGGGAAAATGGTGACATTTTCCATACAATTTTCCTACAACTTTCCGACGCAAGCCTTCGTTTCGTCCACATCCAATACTCATGCCAATTTTATTATTACGTCTAACACATTAATAACATTCTATGGTTAAAAAGGCTTGCATGAAAAAATAACTCAAAAATCAAAATGCACTTATCCATTCGCGCCATTCAAGCCAATATGTTTTTTGGGCTAGTGACGATGTATGTAATCATACTTTCGACGGGCTTGTGTGGAAAAATCAGTTAAAATATCGATTTTTCTTTACAAGATTACGCCCTTATTTCAACCCTTTAGCCACTTGCAACATTAAAGCCTTTAGTTTTCCGAAACCTAGTTCTATTAATTATTCATGTAGTGAAAACGGCTTGCGTGGAAAAATGAGCAAAAAACACCTTTTATTTCTGTTAAGGAACATTGAATTTTCCATATTTTATCCCCAAGGGCCACTCGTAAATTTCCTTTCATTCTACTCAAAATCGATGTACTTTTCAACCCTCTTCGAGGCTTGTATGCGAAAATGGGGCACCTAAATCCGCCACTATCTGACGGTCTATAACTGAATGTATTAAATATACCTTTTAAAAATCCTTATTGATCCTACAAAAAATAATAAATAAATGCTAAACATTTAGTAAAAATTGTTATGGTTTTCCTAAGGGACAATTTTTTGCCATCAGCACTCAAAGTAGAACAAAAGTATTTAACATGTTTTGGTGCATTTAATAGTGCAAATTCTCGAGCTGAGTAAGAACACTTTACTTCAACAATTTTATCATCATCTATCAATCCATTCGGTGAAGCTCCTAAAAAACGATAAGTTTTCTCTAAACAGACGAATAAACCAAATTCAACAACTGTATTCTTTGTAAAAGAAGCATATGTTTCAATTGCAACAGTTTCGTTAAGTTTAACATCTATTTCTGAAAAATATGGAGGGTGGGGTAATCGTTTGGAGTAGCATCAGTCTCGATAATAATTTAAAGCCACACCTCGTATCTAAAAATGAAATGAATTACCTAAATAGTGATGGCAATATTATTTATAATTATTATAGGTACATTAAGTTTACATAAGTAAGTACTTACCCCATTCATTGTTCTGATGTGAATTCAAAAGAAAATCATTATAAAAGATTTTTTTATTACATTACATAATCATATACAAAATGACTTAGTTCTAAAGTGCTCTTTTACTCTAATAATATCAATAATGAAAGATTAAATTAAAAATAACTATAGATAATCAGTTATTGGGATCTATTCTGTAAAAATTTGGTTAAAATGAACCATAGGTCATAAAAATAACCGGACGTTATTTTAAATTTTTTATTCTGTATAATTTGGTTAAAATTGCATGTCAAATACATCATTTTTCTTAATTTCAATGCACTTTTAGTTAAATTACATCATTGCCATGTCTATGTTAACCGGGCTGGTTATAAAATAACTAATAACAAAATAATGGAATACCGAGTAGAGATTTGAGTCAAAATTTAAACGGTTAAAATTAACTAAAACGTTACAGAATATACCTCGTCTGACTTATGTCGTACTAAAGTGGACAAAGTATATAGCACATTCAACAATAATTATTGTCTAGGTTAAAAACATAATGGACCAGAAACATACCAGAGTAATTCATCTAGCCATGCACATCGCCCAGCACCTTGCCGTAAATTGAGAAACTAAACATTTGTTTGTCTACATCCAGCTTCTAGAAACTAGCTCCATGATTATCTCAAAGACTAACAGTGGCTAACGGTGACGTGAACAGAACATAACAGTTATATTTCAGAGCAGTAAATATCGAAGGGCGGCTAATTGGATGGCAATGTATAAGGCGATCGGCGCGACGTAAACTGCTCCACTATATTGTTACCCTTTTGAACATTTAAACAAAAAATTGTTCCAATCGGAGAAGTCATTACTACATTATTTTGAAGTAGAATTTAAACTAAAATATTTATTACAATCATGACTGCGCCATGTACCCTATTCTTCGTAACACTTTTTGTGTCGAAAACTGGTTAATATTTCTCCTTAAAATAGAAAGATTTACCAAATATTTAATTTTTTTTTATTTCATTATTTAACCAAAAACACTAAGTGCCGTAGCAGCTAACTTTTCAACAATGATTTTAACAATAAATTTTGCCACCTTTTTAAGTATATTCATAGCACTACCACTTTCTCCCTCACTATCAGCATCTCTTTTAGTTATAATTTTCCCGTGTGTTTCTTCATTAACTAAAATAATTTTAAAATTTATTAACAAACAATCGAAAAATATGTACAGAAATATTTTGCAGAGCTCATACAAAATGTATGAAGACATTTTTTTCTGCCATATTTATTATGCACAATTGAAAAAAATCTGTGTTTGTTTCATATTATATTAAAATATCGCTCTAATTTCAAGGCTTATATCTAATAAGAATTATTTCAAGGAAAGTGAGAAAACTTATTTAAAAAAATTTATTGTATACACATAATTACAAAAATTGTTCTCTACAAATTCAATAGGTACTTAGTTATCGGAGGAGTTGATCCATTTAAGGAACCTTTGGAGAAGATCTACAACAAATTTAGCAGCTCTATCGAAAAATCCGTCTGGTTGAGGTGCTTCATCAACATTATCGTCAATCTCCATTCCTGTTACTTCTGATTGTCTTTTTTGTCTGGTTAGAGCTGTCAGTCCATTGTCTGAAAAAGATTTTGTAAGATTTATAAACAGTAAATATGGCTTGTTAGTTCAATAGCATAACAATTTGAGAATAGCGATGCCTCAGAGTTAAAAAATACAAGGTGTCCACAAAGGGTAGGGGGTATTTGTATCGGCGCAGTTCTAGTAACGAAGTAAGGGGGGGCGTGGTAGGCATAGGTGTTTGCACTACTCTTTGGATATTTAGTAACCATGGAGACATACCCTGGAGACCATCGCGCTTTTTGCATACGAGCGTATTATCGTAATGGTGATTCGATAGTAGAGAGTTGAAGTGTTTCCAGTACGTTAACGTAAACGTGAACGTCAACGCACAAAAATTATGTTTACGGTATAGTCCAAAATATGAGTTGAAGTTGTTAAACGCATCGTGACATTTACGTGTCATGACAGATAATGAAAATTATTATTAGGATTTCTTCATTTCCAATTAAAACAGAGGTTATGGTATTTGCGTTACGTCATTACGCCAGAGCCCACAAGCTTACGTATATACGTAGACGTGAACGTGACGGATATTTGAATGCGCATGCGTAGATGTCAATTTTTACGTATACTTCAACTCTCTAGTCACAGCGCAACGTTTATATCGTGCACATTTTAATGTACGGAATGCACCAAAGGACGATACCATAAGAAAATGGATTGGAATGTTTGAGGATACCGGTTCGACTGTAAAAATTCACAATTCAGGCCGCCCGTGCTCTGTTTGAACCCAACAAGCGATTGAAGAAGTGAGGGTTTCAGTACGTGGAAATCCATCTCAATCAGTTCGCAAACGGAGCCAAGAACTTGATATTAAAAAATCATCGTTGCACAAGATTCTGAAGAAAGATTTACATCTTACAGCCTACAAAATTCAGTTGGTTCAAAAACTAAACGTTACCGACTATCCTCTCTAAATAAACAGAACTGCCGCTACTGGGCCAACGAAAATCCAAGACAGAAACATGAACAACCACTCCATAGCCCAAAAGTGATCGTGTGGGCTGCCATGTCTGGTGAAGGCATCGTTGGGCCTTATTTTTTGGAAGACCGGCGAGGGCGGGCATTAACAGTAAACAGTGAACGGTATTGCGGTATGTTAAGAAATTTTTTGGTTCCACAACTGGAGGACTTTGAAGGTGAAAACATGGTTTCAACAAGATGGGGCTACTTGCCATACCTCAAACCAATCCATTGCCGTTGTCAATGAACTTTTTCCGGGAAAAGTGATCTCTCGTCGAGGCACCATCAACTGGCCCCCAAGAAGCCCCGATCTTACTCCTCTTGACTTTTTCTTATGGGGCTACTTTAAAGAAAAAGTCTATACCAACAAACCAAGAAATCTAGTGCAATTGAAGAACAACATCCGCACCGAAATGGCCGCCGTTCCCACGGAGATGTGTAGACGTGTGGCGGCTAATGTTCGTTCTCGGTTAGAGGAGTGCCAGCGACGCGAGGGTCAACATTTAGATAACATTATCTTTGGCAATTAATTTTCCAAAGCTTTTTTTAAAAATTAATAAAAAAAAATCTTTTTCTGGCTTATAGTTTTTGTTTCATTGAATTTACAAATACCCCCTACCCTTTGTGGACACCTTGTATTAATTTTGTGTTATTAGCTGTAAACTCTCTCAGGCCTTATCCATTGTTACGATATTGAATTTAATAAAATAAAACTATAGACCGAATTAAATATTTTATCAAATACTGGTTAACATAATACGAAACTATTTGGCATTATGCGGATTACTTTGATAGTTCCATTATGGAATCTTAAAGATTTCGAAGGGAATTTTAAGTGAACTTTATTTTTTATCTACTATCATAGAATTATAAATTTATTTAAATTTGTTCAGTAAATGCTATTTTGCTTCTAATAAACCACCTATCATAAATTCCGCATCTTCATACTGAAGCTGCTTTCGCTGAAAGCGTACCTGCTTTTAATTTCTTTTATCTTTAATAATTCTAAGAAATAAAATTAATGATAACTACGAGGCTTGTCTAAAAAGTTTGTGATCTAACAGAAAAACAAGTCATTTGTTCTTAATTTATTCTTATTTTTCTACATAGTCTCCTTGTAAATCTATACACTTTCCCCAACGATGCTCTCATCTCTCCAAGCCATCCATACTTTCTCTGCAAAATAGTTGTCGATGAAAAGTCCTGTCCTCCGAGCGCAACTTGTAGCCTTGGCGCTAAATATGGTAAGGTGGTCAAGATATTCAAGCAGCAGTTTCTTGTTTTTCGCAAAGGCAATCGCTAAGGTGTGAGATGGCGCATTATCTTGGTAAAACAATTCTGCAAGTCTAAGTTTTCCACAATTTCTGAATAGCTTGTTAAGTAATAATTCGATATGGTTTTTGTTTCTTCAAGATAATTGATTAAGACAACTTCATGAATTATGACTCTCCTAGAAAACATTCGCCATCACTTTCCCGACCGAAAGAACAGTTTTTGCCTTTTTGTTTTTGTTTCTGGAGTATAATGGTGTATCCGAGTTTAATCCAGAGTAATTATTCGGCGCTAAAACTCTGATTTATTACACCAACTGCGACGGTTGTGTAGCACCATTTGGTAAACTTGAGTGATTTTATCGTTAGTGGTTGCAGGTTTTGGTCGTCTCAAGCGTCCAAACTCGTCTTTAATTTGCGTAGGCGTACCGCCCTTCAAAAACAAATATTCATTGACAGCTCAATATTTGATCTTCCATTTTTACAAAAAAAACTCCACTGCGCGTCTGAAATAGCTAAAATTTTGATGAATACTTTTCAATTGATGTGTAAACACGTTCCCCAATTTTTGTTTACGAGTGATGTTTATCTTCATGTTAAATAAGAAACTTTTCGCAAAAAAATATTTATCTTATTTTAAATATTACTGATATTGAAATTCAAATAATTAAAAACTTAATTTTGTTGTTTATTAATCTCTGCAAAATATTTCTTTTGTGGATACAAATGTCCAATAAACGTTTCTTACCTATTAATCCTGAATGTTCAAGGGCGCCCAAAAATTCTTTATCTTGTGAGAGGAATTCTACAACACTTCTTTTTAAATCATCTTCATTTTTCATGGCCCTTGGTGCCTATAACAATAAAATGTCAATGAAAAACATACCTAATAAGCAGCAGTAATTTAATTTGCAGAACGTAATACAGGTTCAAGAGTTAAATATTTTATTTATACCTCATCCTTCAATGCTTATTTGTAGTTAAAATGAAAATTTTAATACATCTGATTGTCCTAATAAAAGTTTTCGTTTAGATTTAATCGTGTTTCCATGGTTTTTACTGTAATAAACCTTTTCTTTTGACAGAATTTAAATATTAAGCAATAATAATAATCAGCTGGTAATACAACATGAATAAAACACAGAACACGAGGCTAATGACCTTAGTAGTCGATGCCGATGACACCAAATTAAAAAAAAATAACAAAAAATAAATAAATCCCCTTGCAGTAAACTGAGTAATTCTTCAAATGTTTCATAGAGCATACGACAAAAATTTTACTGGATAATTTTTAATTCAGGAAATATATGATGGAACTATCCATAAATGTTTATTTTCTTATGTATAACATGCACTTAAAACTTATGGTTTCGCAGGCGCTGTCTTTTGGTTTTCTGGGTTCTCTTTTCTTCATCAAACAAAATTTAAAATGGAAATAGTTCTTCGTCAGAACTGTCCATAGTAATAAAAAAGAGTATTTTTTCACCCTTAACAAAGAACTTACAGTTCTCTATGGAACCGCACAAACTTATATACAGCGATGAATGACAAATCTGCGCGCATCCGCTCGCCTTCCTTCGTTACTAAACGCAGTAGTAAAAATTTTGCGATACGATCCGCCCCGCATATTTACACATCCTCCTATATGACGGCATCGGAGTGCTGAAACCTGTTCGCCTTTGTAGTCTACAAGTACGTTACAAAAGCTCATTGATTTAGACACCCATACAAATTTTATGATATGTGAGACTTTAATTTTCAATTTTAGCTGTGTCCAGGCCGTTGGCAGATAAGCTTGCTTACTGATTCCAGCAATAAGAGAAGCCTCATGCATTGGTGCCTAAATCAATGAGCTTTTGTAGCGTACTTGTAGGTTACAAAGGCGAACAGATTTCAGCACTTCGGTGCCGTCATATAGGAGGATGTGTAAATATGCATCCGCCCCGGCCCAAACCGCCTAGTGGACGCGTACCTTTACCGTGATTAGTGTTTCCGAATCCTGCCCTTGAAATGTCCACTATAGATTGTTGGTAGATTGGTTCCCAGCAGGTAATAGATTAAAAGTGTGTACCTAATAGTTGTTATCAATATGTAAATTGGTTTCCAAAACAAAAAGGGACGCCGTTAAATTGGTTCCCAGTTTGTAATACGATTAGAACGATAAAAGGGGCGTATGTCAACTGGCCACTTTTACGTGATAATTTGTTGTTAAACCCCGGAAAAAAGATAAGCATTTTAGACAGGTAGTTAAAGTAGGGTAATTAGGTTTGTAATACGATTAGAATGGGTAAATCTGACTTAAGACATGTATAAAGAAGATCAAAACTTTCAGTCTTCAGTTAATTATATAGAACGGCAGTAGCTTTCACTTGTGTTTGAAGTTATTTTTAACCCGTATTTAAATGGGAACCAATTTACATGTAACCCCACTAAAAGGTCCTTTTCATTCCTAAATGCTTTATTAATTTGTTCTTTTCGTTCTTTCGATATCTCATAAACTTAAAAAAAAAATTGATGTATCCATGTATCGATTTTCCGGATAGCTCAAAATTGATTGAAAACATTTGATCGAAAAAACAATATATCGAATAACCAGTTGATCGAAAAGGAAAATGATATAAACGATATATGATCGAAAAGAGTCTAAAAGAACAATGATCGAAAATAGATTAGATGGAAAAATAATTTGATAGAAAAACTAAATATACATTCAAAGTTTCCCATTCAAATAACATGTAAAAAAAATCTTTTTTCATTTAAAATTCCATAATTTTTGAACCGTTTAGGATAAAAATTTTTACGTCGCGGATTCTTGTAGAACAAAATTTCCTAAAAAAATCTATATCAGGATTATTTTTTTCAATTAAAAAATTCGTATATATAAAAACTTTGAAAAGTGAAAAAATCAATATATTCAGTTTTAGTGTTTTTTGACTAAAAATGTTTATATTTGACAAAAATTTTGATTTAAATAATATAAAATAGTTAAAAAATATCGTTAATAATCTAGATTTGTCAAAAAAAAGTTATATTCATTAATTTTTTATTGCAAATTTAACAAAATATTTTTGTATTAAAAAAACTTCAGGATTGCCTTATTTTTGAAAAAATTTTCTCACAATTGTTAACGTTATTCATTACAAAAATTAAATTTTTTAACGTTCAAATCATTCATAATTCACTTAACAGCTGTCGGTAAAAATTAAAATCACCTCTTGAGGTGTCAAATATTCATGAAGTTTTTGTTTCATCTGACAAGCATCTTATTCACAACGTTCTGTTTGTTTTCATTACTGAATTTAAATATATCATTGAATTTTAATGAACGATATTGTATATTTTTTTAATTAATAACTACAAAATATTATCTGTTTATAACCTCTCTGTTCTAATATAACAAACCAGTCACTTGGTTTTTCAAATATTGAAAATAAGGAAGAAAAAAAAGTGCAATTAACTTATTACAAATTATGACGGCTAGAAATTCAATATTTTTAGTTGGTTTTGAAAGTAGCAAAATCAGTGAGCGTAAACTTCCAACAAAACGACAAATCTTAAGTTTATTCTTTTATAAACATAAGTCCCTTAACCTAACTATTCGGAATAGTGCTACAAAAGTCGCCAAGGACGTAATACAAATATGGAGTGATTTTAATCTTCCAACAATTAAACAATTTTATGTTGTGGGCAAAATTGAATATTTATTTCGGGAATGCAAAAATCTTTTGAAATCCCGAAAAAATAAAAAAACTATTGCAAAAAAACAAACAAGGAGAGTTTACTCAAAAATTAGATAAGTTAATAACAATTCTTAAATGATGAACAATAAGCTTTGTTAAACGAAGATACACGACTTCGATGTTCAATTTCAAAGTTTGCATTGAGTGAAACATCAATTCCAGAGCTCGAATTACCAAGTAGGTAAGTTGTTTCTTTCAAAGATTATAATACTTTTTCTTGTATAAATATTAATTATACTTTTTTAATTCATTCAAATTTTCAGGTGTGAGTCAAAGTACTTCTTTTCATTATCACATTCAGATTTAAAAGATCCCTATCCTGAAAATCATAAAAAACCAAAGACAATCAACGTTATAAATCCTGCAGTAGTGAGTCATTAGGAGTGCCTGTTGAAGATACTAATTTAAGCTACAGTACCATTCTAAGGCGTCGATTAGAAGCTAGAAAAGATATTGTAGATGATTTGAAAGACAAAATCCAATTTCCAAACAATCTTTTCCTTCATTGGGATACGAAATTTCTTGTTGACGTTTGTGGATATGATAAAATTGATAGGCTTGCAGTTGTTGTATCTGGCTCAAATTTCGAACAGTTACTCAACGTACCAAAAATCGAAAGGGAGTCAGGAGAGCAACAAACTTTGTCCATAATTGACTCATTAGATGACTGGGGTATTGCAGACAAGATAAAAGGCTTATGCTCCGATACAACGGCTTATTATAGAACCGCATAGTGGCGCATGTGCGACATTGGAACGTATACTTGAAAATAAATTTCTTTATTTTAATTGCCGACATCATGCTTATGAATTAGTTCTTCAGAAAGAATGCCAAACTTGTTTACCTGCCACGTCAGGTCCAAATGTTTTTACGGTTGAACGATTCCGGCAAACTTGGAAAAATATTGATCAAAATAATTACATAACTGGATTGGACAATGAAATTATACGTGATAAAGTCATGGACGAAAGAGATAATGTATTGCCATTTATTTCCAAACAACTCAATGTATAAACTATTTTTGATTATTTAATTAGTTCCAGTCAATTCGAGCTTTCAACCGTTTAAGTACCTAAAACCATGATTTATTAAACTTTTTCAGGAACACCATTTGCGAGATGATTATAAAGAATTCTTGGATCTAGTACGCAAACCGACTTCACTTTTTATCAATTCGTCGCGATATTTTTTTTTTTATGTATGTTCAGCGATTATTCTTCAGCATGCTGTCCGATTTCAATGATTTATTTTTTGTTAGAAAGGGGGTACTTCAGGGGTGGTCCCATATAAATTTGATTAAGATATGGTGACGGCATCTGCACGTTTTTGAAGTCGGTTTTTTTAAATTTTTAACTTTTAATACTTGTATTTACTGTTGTTTCGTGACACAGTCGTTGATTTTTGATGTCTTGTTCTTTCGGTCTAATGAATTTTAGATTTAATGTTATTCGATAAAATGTATTTTCGATCAAATTTCCACCTTCCATTTTCCATACGTTTGTTAAAGATATTTAAATCTTTTTCTTAATGTATTATCAGAATTTACGAATCTTGATAATTTTTCTTAGTGTAATAACTGACAGAAACTTCAACTGTCTATATACTAGCATTTATTCTGTGGTATATACAAAATATCTAATAAGGGAGTGGGTGGCTCAGTGGCTAAAGTCTGGACAAATACAAGGGTCGGGGGTTTGAATCCCACCGTTGGCCGAGATTTTTTCTAATTGATTTATCCAATTAACAAGTATAAGAAATTAAAAATTTCACCGACTTCAAAAACGTGCAGATGCCGTCACCACATCTTAACCAAATTTATATGGAACCACCCCTAAGGTACCCCCTTACTAACAAAAAAAGAATCATATGAATCGCACAAGGTGGTAAAGCATTATCGCTAAACATATATAAAAAAATTAAGAGTTTGAGGATTTTGTCATGGACCCAATTATTAGATTTTGACTAAATTTATATGGAACCACCCCTGAAGTACCCCCTTTCTAACAAAAAAAGAATCATTGAAATCCTACACCATGTTAAAGAATTATCGCTGAAGATACATAAAAAAAATCTCGACGAATTGAGAACCTCCTCCTTTTTTGAAGTCGGTTAAAAATTAATTCCGATGCACAAGTATGATTCCCTACTCAACCATTTACTGTTGGGCTCTAATTAGAGTGGCACTGGAAAATAGTACAACGCCTACAATATGAGGTATTAGAGTACCTACTAGTACTCCACAACCTATACAGAACACGAAACTGTTGTAGTAACCGAACACCAATAAAAAAATATATCTAAAAAAAATTAAATTGGATTCACATCTATACAAACATTTAGGAAGTTTAAAACTTATAATAAAAAAAAATCGACATTACTATAATTATTGTGTATCAGTGAAATAAATCACATAATTAATTTTATAAAAATGACTTTAACAATCAAATCCGATCATCTATCATCTATAACAACCTAGAACAAAATCGTGTTACTACACATATTTGTAGCAAATTCAACAATGAAATATACCTAATTTGTAAATGTTTTATTATAATGATTAGTTAAATTGGCCAAATTTTGATGCTCTACGATAACGAGTCCGTTTTATTTTTAAAGTTAAGCCTTTTCATATATTTCAGATTATGAATTATTAAAAAAAAATTAAATCTCTAGGAGTTTCATCATAAATAAAAAAAAAATTGGAATCTGAAATGAAGCTGCAGTTTGAAGATTTGTCCCACTATCAAAAACACCTAAAAATATTGTTTATCTATGGCTTTGATTATTATATTATTTAAATAAATAAAATACTTAAAAATTACTAAATATAAAAAATATAATTTTTTATTAATATAAAATTTAAAGAATTTTCATTAATATTCAAAATAATTAGTGTAAAAAAATAGCTTACCCCGGAAACCACACTCAGGGCTACTAAAGCTAGGCATGCGACAAAAAGTACTTTTAAATCCATTATAGCTTTAGAAAAAAAATCACTATTCACTATATCGATTTAGCGACCCAATTGAACTTGAAAATATTGTAAAGTATTCATTTATATCGGATTGAGAGGATATTACAGTGGCGTGTAGATGGTTTTGACGATTCGGAGATTTTAATGAATGTACGAACAGCATCCTATGCTTACCTTCAAAAAATTGCAAGGTTAATGATTAAATCTTTTCACTGAGGTTAACCTTTATTTTGAAATATTGTGTTGCAACCGTCTTTATGTAAATATATAAATCAAAATGAATGGTATAAGAACATCAATGGAATAAACGCTTTTATAAAAGAAACGAACGATATTAACTACAAAATTTCATTCTATAATAACAATGGCGACCAATAAAATATTCTAAGCTGTAATACCTATAACAAACTGTATTATCAATTTTTTGAATAAATATTTTATACAATTATATCTTTAGAAGTAACAAAGTTTTAATAAAAAGTGTGTCAACTGATTTTAAATTTTATTAGTTTTCTAATGATCTTACATTCAAAATACCATTGTAAACTCTATATTGTCAGAGGATGTATGTAGAGTAGACGTGGTGTACACGTGCTCTGTTAAAATTTTTATTTATTGTGGAAAAAGGCGCTAAAGAAATTTGAGTTTCTTCATAAATACGTTACTAGTTTACCCCAACCGAATTCTTTGTGAAAAAATTTCAAATAATTCTAGTGATAATAATTAGTTTTAACTAAATTGTGAAAAATGCCGACCACAAGAAAGGGAGACGATGATTTGCAATTTATAAAATTAGTCCTCACCAAAATATGTACATCGGATGAGTTTATTTCGCAATGGGCCATGTTCACATGTGAGACATGCTGTTTTATAAATTATTTTGTAATAGTTAGTCACTATATAAGTTATTCTAAATAATCAGTTTGTTAAAAAATCCAAAAGTTTTTAAAGTAAAACCATTTATAATTTATCGGGAATAGACCAATCAGCTTGTGTCAAAGTTTTGTTTGTTATACAGAACCAAGCCAACGAACAAATCGACACATAGAATGTCGAAGTGAATGCACATCTTAGTGACACTTAAAAATTGACAACACCTAGACCACCTAACCTAACATTCGTTGTTGTTTTGTTTATTTTTTTCTCGATTCTCGATTTATTTCTGTCTTTGCTAATTGGTTTGATTTTATTATTAATATGAGTTTGTCAGCTGGATTTATAAAAGCTGATTCAAGTATTTTACCCATTGTAAATCAATATATGATTACTGCATTTTTTTAACATAACTCAATTTATAAGTGCCAAAGTTAAGCATGTTAAGACAGAAAGGTATGTAACACTTTATTTATAATTTGTTTTAATAGTAGGTACAGTTTATATGAGGCAATAAACCTTATAGTAAAAACATATTTATCTCAGGTCACCAGGGTTGTACAGTAACCGTTATTCAAAAATAAACATTTTACCTTTACCTCATTTATATGTATAACAAAAAAATATTAGTGTACACTGATATCCAGAAATATAATACTAGAAATTGTGGGACGATATATCATATATCTGTATCTTGAAGCAACAAGGGCCAATCTCTATTTTGAGCAAGAGAGCGACGTTTAAAGCTGTGCTGTTGGTTTGCCTACCTCAAAAATCAAAACTAAATAACATCTAAAACTATTTAGAAGGGTAGTGCACAAGTATTTACTGTACCGTAAAGTCGGATGACTTTGACACACTGTCAAAATTTAAACCTAGTTTCAATTGTTAAATAAAAGCAAATCTAAATTCGCATTTTTGCCATAATTTAGTCTTCAGTTATATTTTAAGAATTATTAAGCAAACATATCTGAAATGGTCTAATTTTTTAAATAAAAAATAAAAAAGTGTGTGCAAAGCCACCCGCAGGTAGAGGGTGACTTTCACATTGTTTTCTCTATAATATTACTTGCTGGTTTAAAGCCACCAATAACAGTTAATAGTAAAACACATTAAAAAAAAATTTTTATTGCTTACGGTAAAGATAATAAACAAAATATTGCAAATATTGCATTGGTTGCATACAAATTTAATCACCTTTCAATTTTGATTATTTTGCAATGAGTAAAATTTTTTATACTACAAAAAGCGTAAGCATCCAATTGTCTTAAAATAAAGTGTTTTGGGTAGTTTTAATACCTTACAGTTCAACCAGCGTGAGTTTTATTTTAAAAATAGGACGTAAAATTTTTTTTTAACAAAAATAACTATTTACTAATTTGAGCTAAAGTCACCCATGCGGGTCAAAGTCACCCGACGTTACGGTAATAGTATTTTTATTTGGTCGAAGATTACCTAGTTGCTACATGTCATTGTAAATAATTGTAATTTAAGTACATTTTTGTGTATGAATGACTACTTTTTGTAAATATACAAACTATTTCTGTTACAATTATTATACACATGTCTAGTATTTACATGAATAAATCCTACCATAACATTGCTAAAATTGAAATAATAAAAACACAAATATGTGGACATGGAGACAATGTGATATTCCATGAATAACTTGAGAAAAGATATATTTGCACAGTAAACGAAATAGTTACGCACATAAAGTATTTTACATTGTTTCTCCCACGTTTGAAGTAAATAATGCTTAGGTAGACAAGTTGAATTTGATAATGAATCTTTAGAGGAACGTTTAGTTTGTGCAACTACATTATTTTTAGGGCTTGTTATTTTTATTATTTGTAAATAAAGTGTTTTTTACTTTGCTTATCTTATTCAGGTACTTTTATTTTTTAATATAATTACTTCTCGTATACCGTCTAATAGGCAACGTTGTGTGGCTAGTTCCTATTGGTTTATTCCCGTCTACGTCATAAATTTTAAATAATTAATAACTCAGGCAAATTAATAGATAAAAAAAATTAAAATGTACCTAGCTTTATTTTAAACTGTATTATATAAAAAAAATTCAAAATTTTTGAACATGCCTCATTGAGTGATGCGGTATCTAAAATTATAACAAACAAGTTTGGTAAGAAATTAAAACCACTGGAAGAAAAAATTAATGAACTAGAAGAGATCATAGAGAATCAAAGTAAAATAATTGAAATATTAGAAAAACGAAATGAATATTATGAAAACTATACCCGTAAGAACAACGTTAAATTCTTTGGACTGTTAATGATACTGAAGGTTGCTGATGCCGTCTTAAATGTTCTAAATGATAAAATGAAGTTAGATAGTAAAGACACTGATATTGAAGAATGCTTACAAAATAGGAATCATAGAAACAAAGCTAAACAAGCAGTGTTGGTAAAATTCTACAATACCCGGCAAGGAAACTTAATATTTTTTAACAAGAAGTTGCTCAATAATAGTAAAATAATTATAAGAGAAGACTTGAGTACTGAACAATAAAATTATTGAAAACTGCTATTAGGAAGGTTGTTAAACAAGGTCGAGCATGGAGTAGCTTTACAAATATTTAACTTAACCCTGCGTTACATATATGGGGTTTAACAGAACCCCAACCGTAGAATATTTCTTTGAAAATAAACGAAATGTTAATTTATGCGCATTTCTGTCCCAATAGCTTTTAAAATATGTCCTAACCTTCGAATTCAGGCGTTACTGTAGTACTCCCTTGACGACCAGAGAGGTTCCACGTGACTGATTGATTCCGGGGTGTGTCAAACCCCACGTATTACCGTCGTTTGTATTTTTTACATAACAAGTAAGTTGTTATTTTAAAATATACAGGGGTCCCGAAATTAGACGGTCATATTTTAACAGCGTAATCTATATCCTAAAATAGAAGTAAAAGTTCATGGAAACATAGGTCCGAAAACGTTTCGTTTTCGAAATGCAGAGTGTTACAAATGAAGTCATGATGGCACATTTTTGTAAATATTTTCTAAAATTTCTTTAGCCGTCGGTTTTCTAAAGTTAAAAAAAAAATAAAATTTCTGATTCCACATGCCTAATTATTGTTTACACTTTCGAATAAGATAACATCCATTTGTCATGAAATTTTAAAATGCTTTTCTCTTGAAAATGGTGCGTCCTAGCGAGATACAACAAAAGTAGCTGTATTATAAAGAAAATATTGGTTTTCCAAATTTTGTAGTTAAAAATGTTAAAAACAGTCAACAAAAAAACTTAGGACAATTTAACCCGAATTCCCCCCTAATTTACCCACCTATGAAGATGATCAAAAACTGGCATTTAGCCCATTAAATAGAGCGTAAAAAGTTTGGCATTTGTACCAAATTTCACTTAGTTATTTTTAAAAGTTTAGAAAATATTTACAAAAATGTGTCATCAGGACTTCACTTTTAACACCCTGTATCTCGGAAACAAAACGTTTTCGGACCTATGTTTATATAAACTGTTACTCTTATTTTAGGATTTAGATTACGCTGTTAAAACATGACCGTCTAATTTCGGGACACCCTGTATAATTGAATATTTAGAATAGTTTTCTTTTTTTTAGGTCAAGTAATGTCCAGTTCTTACAAAGAAGAACAAAAAAGACTACAGGCACTTTGGGCTGAAGTTGATAGAGATGACGACGCTATAAAATCAGGAATTGAAGAAGACATCGATCATATTTCTGAAAGTGAGTACAACTCCGATTCGGAACAGGATATCACAGTAGAAGATGAAGCGCAGGCAGAACTTAAACAAAATACTGATGTAGCTGATGTTGGAAACCCCGACAGGGAGAAAACGGAAAGTGAACTTCAGAATGAGACGGAAGATGAAAATAATTATGGTCCTCATAGAAGCAGAAAAATGTTATATTATCTTGCAAAAGATGGATCAAAATCGAACAAGCTTCCTGCAAATGTACGTGTTCGAACAATATCAGAAAATATTATTACTCGTCTTCCAGGTGTTAAGCAATATGCAAAGAATGCTAAAAATTACATCGAATATTGGCAACATTTTTTTGATCGTCAAATTATTGAAGACATAGTGCGGTGGACCAATGTCAAAATTCAGCAGAAATCTATTACTTATCAAAATAAATCCATGGTAAAAGCAACTGTTACTGAAATGAAAGTATTTATCGGTTTACTTCATTTGGCAGGAATATTTAATTCTAATCGTCAGAATTTGAGAGATTTGTGG